TCCCCCAGTCAGTGCTGACCCCGGCGCGGTGCCGGGGTGCTGGGTGGGGCACGCTCCCCCAGTCAGTGCTGACCCCAACACGGTGCTGGGGGTGCTCTGCTGTGAGGCTCAGTAGGGGGCATGCTCCCCCAGTCAGTGCTGACCCCAGTGCGGTGCCGGGGTTCTATACTGTAGGGAGCTATCAGCCTTTGGATGAAAAGTAAACGTCAGGTCCTTGCTTCCTGTGGCTATTACTGATCTCTGAGCACTTTCCCCAGGTGGGGGGGGGGTGTTTGCCCCAATGGCCTGCCACCGTCCGTCTCAAGTTACTTGATTGTTCCTCTGTAAACTCCCCCCAGTTTCAATTCAATTTCTTTACTCATTTGTGTCTTTCTCCTTTGTAAGCTACTAGATTCAATTGGAGGCATTGATTTTTCACTTCCAATTCTAAATTGTGCAATGTTAGTGTGTGCTCACACAGCTCCTGTGATCCACCCCAAAGCTGGCTGGGTTTCAGCAGTGGGTTAGGTGATTTATGAAGCTTTACCCCTTTTATGGGGTATCTCCATATTCTACCCATTCCAGTGGGTATGTATTGCTGCTTAGTGATTGCTGGGGCCACAATACAAATAACAGACTCTGGAAAAAAAAAATTCTAATGATCTGCATCTTGTTCCGTCAGGGAAACTGGCTTTGTCCCTTCATAGACCCAGAGCCTTGCTGTAAGCTAGCATTTTTGCAGTATTTGCCTGTGGATGTTTCAGGCAGTATTCATTTGCATTGCCAAATGTGCCCAACAAAACCCTCTATTGGCTGCTTGCTGCTCAGATGCATGGTCTCCCATTGTCATGTTCACGCTGCATTTGCATTGCTTCTTACACTTCATGTCATAAAGTGCTGACCCTAAGAAGTAATATCATGTGATCTTTATACCTCTCGGTGCTGTTGCATGGGTATGGTCCATAGGGAGTCCCTAACTTGGGAAGAAATTGTTCCTTTCTCCCCCTCCCAAAAATGAATGGTCCTTGTGTCTCCTGTCAACCATTTTCCTCATTTTTTCCATTCCAGAGCCATTCAACACACATGCATGTTGCTTAGCTATTTATTAGAGCGTAAGGCTGACAAAGAGATGGTGATAATGAAGCTCAAGAAGTTGGAATCTAGCATGCGCTCTGGCCGTAAATGTAAGTACCCCATATCCGGAGGGATGGTCCCTGTTCGTATTGCTTATTCCAGCTAAGCAGATGCCAGTTGTGCCAGCTCTTAAGTAGTTAAATTACCATGCAGCCTTGGATCACAGGACCTCATTTTGCGTAGTCATGGAATAGTAGATACACCCTCCACCCCCAGAATTACACTCACTTTATTACCTGCTGTGTTGTATGGTTAGTATTGCTCAAAATACACATGGTGGAGTCAATGCTGTGGAGTAAGTGAAAGCAGACTTGTTGTAATCGGTGCTGTGAACTGAAATATGACACCTGCGGGCAGGGAACTAGCTGTAGCATAATTCCCCTAAAAATGTGCAGCTGAGAAAAGGCGTTGTTCTGAGTTGGTCAGACTGAATCATTAGCCCTCAAGAATAATTTAGAAAGGGTGTAGCTCAGAGGTGCAATGGGACTGGTACACTAGCACCTTCCTTCCAGAAAGCTGGGTTAAATCCTCTTCAGGTTACAGCAGAGTGTCTGTCTGTATCACTCTCTCACTTACACCTTAGAACTTAGCGTGATCGATAGTTCCTGTTCAGAAGAGACCCCAGAATGGGACTGGAGTAGTGGAGGGTGTTCTAGGTCACGACGGACAGGCGGGCATTGGCAGAGCTGTGTGGATGTCCCAGGACTGGAATGGCAGGGGATGCTGGCAAATATTGAGGTGCATCAACGAAACTATATGGGGGAAGCTTGCATCGTATCTGTCTACTATACACGGCTCTACTATTGCCAGCCTCTCACTTCTGCAAATATAAAGTTATCCTCAAATGAAAAGACAATATTTAAATATACAAGGCCCAGAAGACCAATTAGTTGTTGAAAAGCAGAACTGGATGGCAGCCTGCAGAGTGGCAGCCTACAGGGAGTGAGCCATGCTAACTTCTCTGGGTTCTCTTGCAGTGTTCAGACTGGGCAACATGGTGCATGCCATGGTAGCAGCCAGGAGAACTACCCAGCTACCAGACCTGGTGCCCCGTCTCTGCCTGACAGCCTCCAACCTCAGCCGTGTCCTGTATTTCATCTGTGACACAGTCCTGTGGGTGAAGAGTGTTGGACTCATCCCTGACATTGACAAGCAGAAGTGGCGGAATTGGGCTACCAAATGCTATTACTATTCACTGCTGATGAATTTGACCAGGGATTTGTATGAGATCTCCTGGCGGATGGAACAGGAGGCTCAAAGGGAGAAGGCAAGGAAGGAGAACTCTTCTCATTGTGATGAACAAGATCAGGATCTGTTCAGTTTCCATGCAGGTGGGTTGCAGCCTTTTCTCCTACTGTACCACACCCTGAGGAAACACCCTCCCTTGTTGCTAGACACAATGAAGAACCTTTGCGATCTCTCTAGTCCTTTGGACCAGCTGGGAATCTACAAAACCAACCCAGGAGTTATTGGGCTCTGTGGCCTCCTCTCATCCCTGGTGGGGATCCTCACAGTGGCAAGTCCACTTATGAAGCTGAAGCACTGATCTGAGAGCATCACATACGGTGAACTGGCAGGTTTGCTTCCCTGACAGTTTTCATTCCCAGGATGGTATTTTAAAAATGAACACATTTGACAATCACTCTTCATATGTGGTTTGTTCTCTGGAGGAGTCAGCTTTACTTCCTCCTTCTCCTTCCTGATCTCCTCTCAGGTGAGGAGCTGCTGTGTGCTGTGACATACTACATGATGGAGAAGAACGGTGAAGAGGCTGAGCAAGGACTGAGCAAAACATCCCTGAAGAATATTGTGAAACATGGAAATCAAGACTTTACAAATTGCTGCTAGTTAAGGACATGTTGCTGTCTCCTGTATTTGAATATAGACATGTGGAATAGCTGCATAGGCAACTAAAATTATATAAAAAGCCATAAGTAGTGGTGCTGACACTGGAAAGGCAGAATTCACCAATGGGGGTTAATACAATCATTTGTCTGTCTTGAATACATTCAAGCATGTTGGTACCAGGAAGGCTTTGGGAACTGTAGTTCAAATGGCCTGGATTAAAACGTGAGTTCTGTGAGGGGATGGATGATGCCAGGGGACCGGTAATTGGATATATGGAGCTTTTCATCTCTAGGCAGTGGTTCAAATCCAGCCCAGGCTGGTAGTAACTGAAGAGTGCTACTGTTTGGTGATATAGTGGCCACCATTGAATATGTATTGGCGGGACTAGATCCAGTTCCTAGTGAATAGATGTCTATATCCCAGAAACCACCACCCCATCTGCCCTCCTTGTTGACAATACAAGGCCAAGGATTGCTTGGGCCATGGAATCTGAATTCTTCTCTAGAAGGGTCCTTCCAGGTCATGGTTAGGTACACTGTCTTTTTCCAGTGTATGGGGGTAGCTTACTGCAGTGCTGCTCGCGCTGGGGATAAGCAAAGGATTTCAGTCTCCATGATTGCTGATCTGGCACCATTCACCAGCACTAGTCTTCCGCCAAATACACACACCAAACCCTTGCAATCCCAGGAGGGTGATAATTTCTGTACTCTCTGAAGCAGCTTTTGCACTGATATTGCTTTAGTTTTGCTGAAAGTTTTCAAATATCAGATTTAAATCCTCCTGCTATTGAGAGAAACCTGCCCCAAGGCACCTGGTGAGTGCGCTGAAATGCCGGGGGTATTGTCAGAAAAGGGAATTTACACTCTTGGACTGGGATGAGCTTGCTGATGCCAAATTCCTTTGATCAGCACCTGCAAGAAGAGAATCCTTTTATCTGACCCTCTCTAGAGTCCACCCCATCATGGCCACCTGCTTGGATAAGGACATGTGGTTTTCTCATATGTCACCTCTCTGTTTGGGTGGGATCTACCACTCTAATGTCCCTTTCGTTCTCCCAGCCATCTAGGTAGAATGTTGCTTTGAATTATTACACAGGTTATGGGAGAAAATACTGTCTAATTTTCTAATGTGTATGATGTGTGTTGTTTGACATCCTTTTGGGTGAGGGGGACTGACTTTACAGACATGCCACGTTTCTACAGGAGCTGAGCCACAGATGCTAATGAATCTACTTGTGATGCAAGAGCCAAAACAATCCCTTCTCTGGATCTGAGCCTGATCTGTGATCTCTGCTCACCACCAATGCAGAGACTTCACCCCTCCCCACAGCTGGGAGGGCAGGGTGGCGAGTTTACAAACTCCCAGTAGTTTTCTGGTACAGAGGGACTGTGGAAGGGCCGGCCTAGTCACACTGACTCCAGGTGAGACAGCCTAAGAGTGAAAAAACTCTCCTGTGCGGAGAAGGGGGATAAGTGAGGAAAGGTTTTCAGGCTGGCTGGCCTCTTCAAAGCCTTCCCCCACCAGGGGCTGACCTGTAACACCACCACCTGGGTCTGACAAGGATGCTTAGGCTTCCAGGCTCACTGCTATGGGATTCCAACAGGCCTGTCTTAGTCCTTTGCTTAGGCAGGTCACTGGATTTTAGAAGCTAATACTTGCGATTCCCCCTGTGAGCTGGAAGCTATGGGTTTAATTTATTTAATTTAGCTTAATCTAACTAAAGCTGGAGAATCAACCAAAAGGAGAGAATTCTTTAGGCCAGCCTCCTCAGGCTCCTGGAATAAGGGCGGCGGCTGCTGCTGTACATTGTCTAGGGAAACACAACTAATAAACTGAAGCTGAGTTTGAATCTGTGTCTGTTTCAGGGTTCTGTGCAGAGGAGGTGGCTGAAGGTGGAATCAGCAGAGATGCTCTGCCTGTGTGTGCAGCTGGATTACAGACATTTCCTCTTAGGAGCACTGGGAAGGGGGAAGCTCAGCCACCCTCCTCACGATTGAAATGAGCATGATTTCATTTAGAAAGGAGGTGGGGGAGCAAATATGCCTCCAGGCGCTTGACATCTTGGGTATCGAAATGCACCAAGGCAAATTCTGTGAGAGGGTCTATGTGAAATGGAAATAGATCTGACCTACTGCCACTGAGCAGGTCCTGAGGGCCGGAGGCCTTCTGTCCAACACAGGCAGCACTACTGTCATCAACGGGTGCTTAGTATCTTCTGTGTATACGCTACCCTTCTCCCAGACGGGTGGGTCCCAGAGTTCTAGGGTGAACTGCAGCAGCTGTTTAATAACGCATAACCATTTAGGACTGGGAATGAAGAATAACTTTGCCAATTGAAATGGGAGATGGGGCACAGTGTAATAATTAAAACTGGGCCTTAAGTGGGCCCTGGGTGCTAACACAAGAGTGACAAACAGCTTGAAAATGGCACCTCCAGCAGCATGGTGCCCTTGAACAACGTCCAAGGCATTGAGTTCAGTGCTGATTTAGAAAGAAAGTTTCTTCCATGACTGCATCACCAGCAGCCACGTGCCCCTTGAAAAATTTTACAATATCCATGATCCCTGTGTCTCCTGAGATCTGGCTCAACCCCTTTCCCCTGTAATAGCAGACTTAGAGATGCTAAGCTCCTAAAGGCTCCAGCTCTCTGATCCTAGTTGGTTATGTGAGCTTTAGCCATAGTCAGCAGAAGTAGAGATGTTTCCTGTGCCATGGACAGAGCATGCCTGGCTAGCTGGAGAGGGACAGTGGTCTGAGAACAGATAGGTGGATGGGGATGTTTTGATGAAGCCGTTGTGCTGCAGCGGGGCTGGGATGGACAGAGGGCCAGGACAGTGCTGGGGTGGCCTTTTCCCTGCAGTAGGGTGGAGAGGGATATGAAATGAAAGACATTTAGCAGGGCAGAGGTTGTGTTGTGTCTTAATTCCCGCTAAGGCCAACAGGGAGGGAGGCTCAGCCACATGCTTCCCCGTCCTGTTCAGGTCAGTTGTTCTTTTACTTAAGGCTAGCAAGATCCAGCAGGAAGCCCATTGCCAAATACATGAGCTGCAGCTCTGGAGCAGCTGCTGCCCTTTGCCCTGCTGTCTGGAGAGCCATGACTCATCACGGGGATGGCCTGGAAAGTTTACACAGGGTTATGCTGCCTTTCCCTTTTCACCTCCATGGGGTGCGGAGCTCAGCCAGGAAGGTAGAAGTGCCAGCCTCATGCAGCTTGAGGTGTGCGTGTGGGGGCAGGTTGCTTCCTGTGCGCTCTACCACCTTTAGCATGGGGAATATGTCTTCCCGAAGGCTCAGCCTCTGATTTCCCCCATACCCCTGTCTGCCTGGGAATATCTTTGCTAGGAACTTGCTCCCCATACTCTCAAACCAGGGTGAGTGGGTGGGTCAGCAGGGTCTGTGTATGTGTCTGATTCCCACCTCCCTCATTCTCCAGCTTGAGGGAGGCTGTGAAACTCTGGGTATTCAAGGACCTGCACCGTCATGCCCCATCTGCTGGGCTGGGGGAGCTGGAAGCATGAAGCAGCCACTCAGCAAATAGAGGGCTTTCTACTATGGTGGCAAGGGGCCTCCCCTGCCCATCTGCTGCTGGCTGTTTTAAGACACCCCAGCATCATGTCTGCAAACAACCAGTATCTTTCAGCCCTTGCTGACCCCTGGATTCCTCCCTCCCATTAAGTACCTCTGGGCTTCTCACCTCACTAGGGCCCTTTGCATTATTTCTCTGTCCTCTGGCATTCACCACTCCTTCCGACTCAGTCTCTCTGAATTGTACTGATGTGCCACTTCCAACTGAAGTTAAATAAATCCAGTCATAACCGTGATCTCTGTGCTCCCCACTAACCCCCTCTCCCAACTCAATAATCTCTTTTATCTTTCTCCTTTGTAGCCTGTTTTCAATCCACACAGCAGTGTCTTTGTCCAATGAACTAAGTTTTCAAGTAAGATTTTGTGAGCTACGGTTTCAGTCCCAAATATGTGAGCCCTACTGCACTCCATCCATCCACCAACATTGTCACCCTGCCAGCGAGAGCTTTCTTATTCTTCCTGACTGCCCCCAGGCTGCCTATTGCTCATGGTTCCATTCTAGGTGTTAATGTCGAGGGATTTTTCTCTCCCCGTTTGTTACGTTGTTTTGGCAGGGTCGGGTTAGATGCAGGTCCTGTGTCTCAGTTCCTAGGATCTGCAATGAGAAGGGGGGGGGGGCATTTTCCAGACTGGTCATGCAATCATCTGTTTTGAATTTGATATGGCCGAGGGAGCCATTCATCATGTTACCACAGCAACTTGCAGACTCCTTGACCCGTGCAGCTGGGAGGTGGGGCTTTGCGGTGGTACTGTCTGGGGTAAGATGCATCTTTGTCAGAGTATCTGCTCTGTGGCTAGCACAACCGGACGCTCTCAGCTCCTGGCACCCTGCTGATGACAGCGTCTGACTGCTGCTCCGTGAGTACCCAACAGCAGGCAAATGCCTAGTGTACAGTCTCCCTAATGCTAGGGAGGGGAGGGGCAGGGAACAGCTGGCGAAGCAGTTCTGCTTAATGGTTCTGCATTTAATCGGCTGGGAAAGAAGGAATCTGTGCTGGAAGTGGCAATAGGGGATGTCAGAAGGGGTGCCCCTGAGGTGGCATTAGGGTTTTGGAGGTTGAAATAGGCTCCTTCCTGAGATGGCTTTGAGATGCATTGGCCACAGTGGATGGAGCAGGCATTGTGCTGTTGCAATGCATTGGACATGGCAATGAGGTGTCTTGGAATCTGTATCTGAACTAGCACTGAGCTGTGCTCCTGAGTAGGTGGAGTGTGTCTGCCGCCTGCGCGCTCCAGAGCTGGCTCGGTGTGAGTGGATTGTGCTCTTTCACTCTTGAGCTCTGCCAATGCTCCTTCATCCTGACCCACCACGGCACCATCTAATCCAGCCCTGACCATTATCCTCACCTTTGCCAGTGTGCCTCAATCCTGACCTGCTGCATCTCTCGCTACTCTTCTCCTTGGTTCTTTGCACAGTCCTGCTAATGCCCCTGCAGTCCCCACCCCAGTCCTCCACCTCCACCCTGCACAGCTGTACTGCTGCACCTCAATCATGACTCTCAGCACCCCCTGCTATTCATATCCCGAATTCCCACCCCCCAGCTCTGCAATCCAGGAGCCCTGGCTCACAGGACTGTTACTCCAATTTTGGGTTCCCCAGCTTTGCTGATGCCTCTCAACCTCTTCTTTGAGTCCCTGTGTTGCAGGCGCTTTCTTTAGCTGAGGAGGATCATTTGGGACTCTTCTTCGAATCACCAGTTCTGATGCTTAATTGGATAGATGGGTTGCTGTTAAGCAATACCAGGTCTCACCCACCCGAGGCATGTGCTGCCTCAGCATAGCTCTCTGCCCCAGCCAGTCTAGGATGCAAGAGGTCATAATGTACCATACAGCTTGAGACTCCATCAGAGCCACTTGGCTGACTAGAGACTGGCACTGAGACCATTTCCAGCATTGTTTTTCCAGGGAGCTCCTTGACTAGGCTCTGAACTTTGCTTTGCAGACTGATGTATCATGATGGCAGCAAACAGGAGCCAGAAAATGCAGAATGGAAGCACAGAGGTGAGTGTGGGCAAGAGGTGGAGAGGCAAAGACTGCTGTGTCTGAGCAACATCAGACTGGCTTGAGGAGTAGGAGGTTGCTAATGCTGCCAGTGGAGTATTTGATTAAAATATTATGCTGTATTGTGTTCTGTTGAACAAGTCTGCATTGTCTATGCAACAGATCTGTAATTAGAGCAATATACAGTGTCTGCTGGAAGAAAACAATGATAATCTTTAGCAAGATCT